CATTTGTTTATCATGGGTTGCTCTCTCTCTCTCTCTCTCTCTCCCCCACCCTTGCTGCATTTTCCACTTGCTGGCAGCAACACGAAAGCATTTTCCTGGATTAATTAGCCACACACAAGTCCCCGAACCCCCACCGACACCTCAGACTCCCAAAATCAAAATTGAGTTCAGGACCCGTTTAAAAGTAAAAACGTGTTGTGCTAAAAATATAAAAAGAAAGGAAAAAGCCAGAGGTAGATGTTAGATGTTGATGACCCATTAACAAAATTTATATGCGGGTGCACACTGCGTATGCGTGTTATTTCCACAGCACACTTTTTTTGCATTTGTCTAATTTGTCTCTTTATTTCTGTGTTATATAGAATATATCACTGCTGATTGTGCTAATCTACTCGTGGCGCATCAATGTCAATATGCACAAGTCCTCCGACCTGCAGGATGTCTACTACGGTAAGGCTTAAAGTTCTACTAGCAATTTTAATTGGTAATTAAACACGAAGACGGAACGACACATACTGGCCTCAGATGATACTCCCAAAGCGACAATAAACCCCAAAAAACAGAAACTGTGGCCACATAATAAATAAAGTCATTTTAATAAATTAATTGTAGATGAGGCCACCAGTCGGCAGACACAAAGATGTGCTGTGTGGCTGATATTTAATATGTGGTGGCATTATATTTCATTAATCAAATGGAGAGCTTTAATTATGAGTATTTCGACAAGATAATTTAATGAAATTTAATGCCTCTTCTAAAGGGAATTTTGTATAATTTAAAACCAAGAAAACTAAAAGCTAAATAATTGCCAACAATCAATAACTGCAACGCATTCATTTCTATTATATATTTCCATTTACCTTTTGACCTAGCTGCAATTCTTTTTTTGGTTTATTTCGCAGGTGTACAAATAGCATATTTTGCCATAATTGGCACACAATTGTCCATGATATTGCTGAGCATTGTGTTGATATTTGGCATATGTCGGGTGAGTAGTTCTTATTTGATTAAAGGCTTTTCCCCCACACATTTTGACAATATCTATGGCCCCCACACATCACACACAATCCACAGCACACATTTCTCCCACACAAAAATCGAACAGCTTCAAGTCAAATATGTGAAATTTATGCACAGTGTGCCCCTATGCGAGTATGTGTGTGCGCCAGGGAAATGTTTACTCAGTTAGCAAACAAAGCACATTCAAATGTAAATTACACAAAAGCGTTCCAATTTGGGAGCATATGACATGCGTCCTGCTGAAATGACACACAACATTTTTTGGAAATAAAACGTTTGACATACTGTAAGAGTTACGGAATATATACCCTTAAAGCAAACAACAAACATATGGAAAATGTATGGATAACATTTTAAAAATATGTTTAAATTATAAATTATTTAAGCAGGCATCGTATGGATTATAATTATTGTTATACAAATTATTTGAAATAAAAATTCAATTTTATTTTAAGTCCGGTTCTAACAATTTTAGTGCAAGAAATTCTCTTGCCTGAAACTTGGCGAGGGCATCGCTCGAATATACCATTTCCGAGGGCCATTATTACACCAGCAAAGAAAAAAAAAAAAAAATTAACACCCCAAAAATGCCATTGACAGCGGCATGAGAATGTAGACAATTTGTCACACAATTGGGAGCCACCGAAACGGCTAAAATGGGTATGGGAATAGGAATCCCTGCCTGGTCGTACAGAATACTAAGCTGAACGGAACCCCAGAGCTGAATGGTGGAGGAGGAGGAGGCAGAGAGCCGTTGACTGGCGTCGACACATGACAAAGATTACACAACCACCGAAAACTGTTTAGGTTTTGTTGCCGCGCAATTGCCGCGCAGAGCCATTTTGTGGAATTTTTTAATTTCGTCTGTGATGGCCAAAAACAAGAGCACAATATCCGACCCCAAAATGATATGGATAAAATTTTCCGAAATACTCGTACGACGAGTACTAACTACATTTGTATCCATGTGTTGGTGGAATTAATTGCAGTTTGCTCTTAGGCGCCGGAGCCTTAGTGCTAGATCTGGGAGCCGGTCAGACAGAGAGAGAGAGAGAGAGAGAACTGAGGTCCATTGAATAATGCATAGAGCATTGGTTCTTAATTAGGCTAAACGAGTATTTGGACGGCGAATTTGTGTGCGTGGGGGCGAAACAAGCGACGGCATTCCGGCTAAGAGGCTGTTGCCAAGGCTTACGGCTTACGGACTTACATAATACATAAACATTTAAGGGAAATTATTTAGCATGCCACCAAGAAATTGGTCTTCAAATCCACACACAAAATCACCAATAATAATGGCAACCCATATAAGGCACGTCATATAATTGCCCAGCAAAATGTTGATTAATTTCAATTGTTTAAAAAGTTTACAGGGCTTTGAAGTACTTTGTAAAATTAAGATATAAATATCCAATTATTGTTAGATTTTTTCATCAAATTTAAATCTTTAAATCTTTTTAAGGGGAATATTTTACATTAAAAATGGTTATCTCATGCTGCTGTAAAATTATTAAAAGAATTAAGTTTTATTTAAACTATGCTGCCATAAAATTGTATAACTAAGGCATATAATATCCGTACTAAAATGTAAGCTTCCGACAAACACACACAAAATTCTATATGCCGAATAAAACAAAATGTGACATGCATAACGTTGCGGCCAAAAAAAAATGTCAGCGACTGCTGCACATCAACTTTTTTGGAAAGGAAAATTGTTGAAAATTTGTGGCACGCGAAAAAATCCAATCAGGGGTTTTACCACCATGGCGAGATAAATTACACCGCACTCTAGCTCCCCATTTCACTGCACCCAGTCAGTGGCATATTTTATAGTATAGTCATGAAATCAATACCCTCCATTCTATACAGGTATCACATCGTACGCTGTGTGAATGTCGATGGTAATGGTTTTTGCGGCTGCTGCCCTTTTTACTGTATTTTCTAATGGCAGTATTTTTTCCATCTCTCCTTTCTTGAATTCCTGCAGGAGAATCCCGGATTAATTGTACCCTGGATAATTGGCTATATAACGTTTATGGCCCTGGAAGCTGTGGCCATGGTCTACTCAAATGTTCTACGCGATCATGTTAATAAGGTGAGTGGCTTTACCTCTCCCTCTCTCTCTCTCTATCTCTCTCCAGAGGGACATATGTATACTGCTCCTGTGTGGTTTCGCCAGAGAGTGTTTTTAGTGCATATTTAAGTTGTTTTCATTTCGATTTTCCCTGCTTGGTAACCATTTGGTTAATGAAAAACATCTCCGACAAAGGATTCAGCCACACTTTCTGGGGGCTTCTTGGCGCCTGGCATAAATCAATTGGAATCAACAACAAAAGCAAACAAATAAATTACAAAAAGCCTCCAAGCGACAGCAGCCACAATGCCACAACAGCAACAACAACAACAATCAAACCAAATCCGTTACATATGTAAAAAGTTTTCAGTTTCCTTTATGCTAAAACCAAACAAAAGGATAGAAACAGACTCGCACTCCTCGTAGCCGTAGTCCTCGTTGATATATGTAGATGTAGGCTATAGTCGGAAGTGGGCGACAGTTGAATGCATTGCTAGGGTAAAACAATGAATGGAGATTGAAAAGCTAAAATAAAGCAATGTGCAAGCAACAGGCTGAGCATTAAAAGGGTGGCCGAAGGGGAATTCTTGCAACAAAGATTAAAAGGGGAGAAAAAATTGGAATTGAAAATGCAATAAATACTATAAATTCCAAAAGAATTCCTAAATCACACCTAAAGGGAACTCCACCCCCCATAACCAGGCAAGATACTTCCTCCTTCGTCTCGCTTTTCCACGCCTCAGGCACACATTCGCTTTGATAGTTTGTTCCTCTTGACTCGCCGACTCCTTTATTCAAGCAATTCAGCCACAAGCAAAGTGCCTTTCTCTAACAAATGAAGCGTACAGAACTCGAGTGGGAACAAAAAAAAATAGTCGAGGGAAAAGCGAGGAAAAACAAACACACACAAGAACCCCCTCCCCACACACGCACTCCAAACAAGCGACAAAGTCAAAGCGGCACAAAGCTGTGTGGGACTTGGGTGTTAAGAATGGAAGGATACTCGTAGAAGGATGGATGAATGGTTAAAGGACCTGCCAAAGCCACCCGCCACAGCACACCCTCTGGGTGCTCAACTCAACCAAACGTATCTACACATCTATGGAGAATCTAGTCCTAGTCCTAGTCCTAGTCCGGTCGTCGCATATGCAATGAGTTGGGCATTTTGCCGCACCATTTTCCTTTAGTATTTTTACATTTGTCTATGTTGCCAGTCATTTGTTTTTTTTTGTGTGTGCATGTGTGTGTGTGGCTCTTTCTATTACGAACGTGTGCTGCTTTTTGGATTGTATTTGTTTTGTTTTCCAACCAACCAGCCACCCATCCAACACCACGGGGGCGGCTGCGAAAAGTTGTTGGAAAATTGTCACCTCATGCATAATTTATTGCAATTCTGTAGGTAGAAATTCACATTTCACTCCAAAACTAAAAAAAAGTTGTGCCAGGGCGTGCAGCGTGGGATTTGCTAATTTGTTGTTTGGAATTTTTTCTTTTAATTTTCAAATTATTTGAGAGCAACGAAAAGTGGACTTCCGTTCTAGTAAATCTTGCATACCAAAAATCCATATTTAATTAGGAAGCATTCAATTAATCCAATCCGGTGCTGCTGTTCTCAGTAAAACTTTTCATTTGCTAGTACGAAGAGAAAAGTTTTTTCGCCTCCAAATTGCTTTCGCAAACAAAAGTTTTGTTTAGTTTTTGCTTTGGATTATTGCTTGGGAAAACTAAATTATGTACGAATAATTCATAGCTAAATATTCTTTGACTTGCAGCAATTCGATGCCATGTGCAAGGCGGAGGTGGCCTTCTTTATAGCTCGAGCTCTGATCAATGTAAGTCAAGCAAAACTAAATATTTGTGTGTGCGTGAATGAACCTAAATATTGTAAACAAACTCAAATTATATATTCATTTTAGTTTAAATGGCTTTTAATATTTTCGACAATAGCATCAACTCTTCAGGCCTCTCTTCTGTGAGTGCCACATCGAAGGCACACATGGTCTGATACACAATTCCAATTTTTCCCAAATTAATCAACAGACTAATGACAGTTTTGGCAGACTTTGGCCAAAACCACACGTCTCCCATAAGGGCATTATTCAATGCAATGCCCCAATGTTGCAAAATTAACAGCAAGCAATGGATAACCAGCCAGACATACATTTTAGCAGGTGATACCTTAGAAATGGACACATTAGAAACCCATATGGATTGTGCAAATCGACACACTTACCACCAATGCTGCGTAGACCAAGATTAGCCAGGATTGGGCCACTATAAATAGCTGGCTACAGGCCAAAACTTTAAGCACTTTGGAGTTTATATGCGTGTTGCTTTTTTTTTTAAACGCATGTTGATACAACTGTACAAGACTGTGAGTCTACAGGCAAACAAATGCATTTCTCTGATTAAAACAAAACAAATGGCAACAATGCCATGGCATACCATTCCAGAAACGCTGAAGACCAGTATCAACCAATAATATAGGGGAAAAAATCGAATATCGCCGTTCCATAAAGCCTCCATAGAGCATTGAAGGTCAGGATAACTCGTCGATGCCATGAAGCTAGGCAACTGCAGCTGATCCCAAATGCCATCATATATTGCAGCCATACTGCAGAAAATACTAAGAAAATAACACGAATTTTTAGACAGTAAATAAACTGAAAGCTAGCAGAAATTTAATGTAATGAAATAAAATAAAAGGATAGTGTGAATGGGAGATCTCATGGAATTATTGACCTACACATCACTCACATCAAATGGACAGACTGACAATCGAGTCTAATTAGTCTTGTCCACGGCTTGATCAATAAATGTAATAAATAATTGAATAACGAATACAAGCCAACTCCATTTGGTCCCATGAGCTCCATAAAAATATGTTTGCTCTTCTGTGTGCCTGTATGTATGAGTGTAGAGTGTATTTGTTTCTGTGTATCTATATAATGGCCTTTGAACTAATGGGAATTTACCCTTTCCCTCTCTCTCAACGCCTCTTCTCCATTGCCATCCAAACAGGTACTGGCCATGTGGGGTGTACTACGTTTCTATAATTTGGTGCGCTCTGGAATTACCTGGCGAGGACCGGAGGTAAGTCAATCCATCATAAGTTAATGGATATACGACCGCAGTGCACTGGGGAGGTGTAGAACGTTTGAATATCATTTATTACGGGTGTTTTAGATGTAATCCAACGATAATCATACAGAAAGAAGAAAGTCGGGTGGTGATATATGTATGTATAATCGTTGTAAGGCCTCACTGTATATATTGACGGCTGTTCTTTTCGGAGAGCGTTGTGGATCGCGAGCCCACCCTCAGAGAGCGTTAACAGTGCGCTGTAACTAGGAACGGCTACTGGCTGTCAATCTGGGATGTTAGCAACTGCCCTGAACAACTGGGAAGCAACTTCTCATACATATTTATATTTATTTTCCTTTATGCTGATACTATCCCCCAATTATTGTTTGTATGTATTTCCGACAGGCCAAGACCGCCATATTTGCACCCATGTACAAGAGCGTGAGCACACATAGCGGCAAGTCTCACCATCGAAAACGCCATTCAAAGCGACGCCACAGCGTGGAGGCCAGCGGCAGCGGATGCTGCGCCATCTTTGACTTTGACTTTGACTACGATGACGACGACGATGATGATGATGACGATGAGGCAGCCTATGGCGATGGCATGGAGACGGAGGATGATGTGGGCTATGACTACGACGACTACTATGATTACTACGAGGATGAGGAGCAACAGCAGCAGCAGCAGCTGGAGCTAGAGCCGCAGGATGATGCTGCCGACTGCAGCATGCTGGGTGCCCCACAAAGACGCGTTCACGACCCCGTTCCCGGCCACGAAGGTCGGCTGTGGTCAAGGTCAAGGGTCAGCGCAGCGGGGGGAGTGGTCGGCGCACCAACAACAACATACGCAGCGTGCTGATCAACAAGCGGCACAACAAATACAAAATTGCCCGTCCGCAAACCCAGCTGGAGGTCATCAACGAGTCGGAGCGGAGTGCGGGCAGTGGCAGCGATGAGAACGACTCTCTGCTTGTGGCCTATGACAGCAGCTCGTCGCTGACGTCAGTTTGACATTGGCCGCCGCCATGCGAAAACGGATACGGATCCGGACATGGAACTGGAACTGCAGCCGATGGGCGGAGGAGTAGCCTCCTCAGTGATTCCGAGCCCAGCAGCGGCAGTGAGAGCTGCAGCGGGAGCGAGAGCGACGACGACGACGACGGCGATCCTGACGCGTGCGAGCATCTGGAATGTGAGTGGGCGAAGGGCGTCCGCCGCTCTGGTAAATGTGGTGGTCAGCGTCAGCGCCGACGTTCACTGCGACGCGTCTACTGCGCTGTGAATCTAACCATAATGGGTCTCCTGGTGGCAGTGGAGATCTATGCCCAGTTAGCGATATTCCTGTAGATCAGAACAGGGATTGAGTTTGGAGTTAGCAGTTTGGGGTTAGGAGAACTTCCAAGCCATAGTAAATCCCTGGTAAAGGGTATTATTTTGAGGGTTACCATATAGATTCAAAGTGATCTGTATTATCTGAGCAAGGGTATTGATGATAGCTTTAAATGTATATACACGTTAAAGGAATTACAATAATCCGTTCAGTCTAATCATATCTTTGCTGTTTCGCTGTGTTTTAACTTTAATTACAAACAAACAAAAAAAACAACTTACCATACAGATCAAAGCTCAAGATCTAGGATTTCCCACAGAGAGAGCTTAAACCCAAAAACCAAGCAACCAAAATAACCAAAAAAAAAAACCCCGAAACCATTTAAATTCATGTAAATAATAACAACAAAATAATTAATCAAGCCAAATAGTATCGATCAGAAACCAATTTAATTGCGTAGATGAGCTCCCAAAAAGGTAACATATGATAGTATGTCTGTGTACCCAACCCCCCTCGATCCTATCATAGATATATATTTGTACAAAAGATTCCCAGTTCGGTGGATCGAAGCTTTAAAAGTATTAGAACAAAAATCCAGCTAAAAATAAAGTAACTGCAAACAATAAGAAATCATAATAAAATATATCTGATAAACTTCCAATTAAAGTTGGCCAATAAATGTTTAAAACTGTTTGAGAATAAACGGGTACTTATATACGTGTATATTGTGTGTATATATAGAGCCCCACAATAATCATATCTGTGTAGTTGTTGTACATACAAAAAAAAAAGCAATCTTAAGTACAGTTGCGCCAAAAATACACACACAAAACACACCTAAAAACTAACCAATAAATGTGAAAACTGTAAACCAAAGAATAAAACAGTTGATATTTGTGCAAAAACAAATAAAAAAAGAGAAGAGGAAACGTGAGGGGCACGTGACGTACGCAGCTCTCTATGGCAAGCATTTAATTTTCTAGCCCCACTCAATGGCCACTGTTTAATCATTGTTAAGTTTCTAATTTTGGCCAAAACTAATTAAATGATAATGCCGGGAGGTGGAGCTCGCACCCGAAACTCGTTTAGGGGCACGCGAAACACGTGAACTAATCAATGGAATCGCAAGATTGGTACTTAAGGGTAGCAGCCACGCACAACAGACGACACGACACCCATTGGCAGCCCGAAGATACGAGTATCAGCACTGAAACATGACCGCAATCAGGGGGAATCTAATCAGGCATCAGGCATCCCACACAACCCATCAGTCAGTCGATGGGGGTTTTAAAAGCGCTTGGGGCCTGCCACAGGCCCAGTTAGCAGCGAAACATGAAGGGTCTAGCGTTGATTGTCTTGGGTGCTGTGATCTTGGCCTGTGGCCAAGCGCGAATCCTCCAACAGGAGCAGGATTTGTCATGGGAATTACCCATGCCCGTGCCCCTAAATGAGCAGATCGAGGGTAGAGCTGGTAAGACACAATACACAAAATAGAATAGGAAAGCAAAATGACTTAGATCCAAATCCATTTAGCTGGCTGTTCCATCAAGATACGGGGCTCCGAGCTGAAGGATCCCCAGCCGCTGCTTATTAAGCCGGGCACCTCCGATTTCTTTGGCTACTCTGACACCGGCATTGTCGATGTGGAGAAGGATAAGACGATTGAGTTCCACTGCACCAGCAGCCTGGCCTCTCCCCTGTCCGGCAAATCGGTGACGGCCAAGTGCGTGGATGGCACCACCTTCAGGATCGGCGATAAGGATCACGATGTCTCCGCCATCAAGTGCAGCTCCTGGCCAGCCTTTGTGGGCAAGAAGTCCGGCTCCAGCTGCAACGGCGGCACCACTCTCATCCATGTGGGCTTCGAGCTGGATGGCGGCCGTTTCGCCAAGCAGTACGAGGTGTGCTTCAACGAGGACGAGGAGGTGACACGCTATGTCTACCACACACTGGAGCCCGGCAATAACTACTATGCCACGGGCGTGGATCGCATCACCTTCGGCGCTGGCGGCTACTTTGCGGGCAAGAATGTGGACAAGCTCTACACGCAGGTCACGCAGAAGGAGACGATCGACAAGGAACTGGGGATGGATTCGGCCCGCTACTTCGATTCGGCCAAGAATGTGTTCCTGGCCCGTGGTCACATGGGTGCCAAGGCCGATTTCGTGTATGCCCCCGAGCAGCGTGCCACATTCCTGTTCATCAATGCCGCTCCGCAGTGGCAGACCTTCAATGCCGGCAACTGGGCGCGCGTTGAGGATGGCGTCCGTGCCTGGGTGTCCAAGGAGAAGAAACATGTGGAGTGCTACACCGGTGTCTGGGGTGTCACCACGCTGCCCAATAAGGATGGCAAACAGACCGCCCTGTACCTGGCCCACGATGCCAACAACAATGGCCTGATCCCTGTGCCCAAGCTCTACTTCCGCGTGGTCATTGAGCCATCCACCAGGAAGGGCATCGTCCTCATTGGCGTCAACAATCCCCATCTGAGTCTGGACGAGATCAAGCGTGACTATGTGCTGTGCGAGGATATCAGCGACAGGATCAACTGGATCAGCTGGAAGAAGGCCGACATCTCGGCCGGATATTCCTATGCCTGTGAGGTTGCCGAGTTCCGCAAGAGGGTGGATCATCTGCCACAGTTCTCTGTGAGTGGCTTGCTGCTGTAAAGTCTCACTCTTACTTTCTTTGTCGTTCTGCAACAAAGCAGTCTATTAAATACACAACAAAAACTTGTCATGAACAATCGTTGCCTGTCGGATTTTATTGTACTTCTTTGCCTGATTCTACTACGCTCCGATGCTGGCCTTGCTGATGGTGGACGGGTCAAACGATTATCGCATCCCATGATCGATAATCAAACAAACTTCATTGCCAGATTTGTGGTCTCCATTCGAACGAGAACGCCCCGCAAATACTATGGAGATAATCACTTTTGTGGCGGTGTCATTATATCGCTCAGATTCGTCATGACCTGTGCCCACTGCCTCATAGAGTGGGTATACGATTAGGCCTTCGCCTAACTTAATGGGTACTAATACTCTCTCTCTCTCTCTCTCTTCCTGGACGAGCAGCAGTCAGAGGATTTTGCTTGAGAGCAGGGATCTGCTTGTCGTGGCTGGATCACCCAATAGGCTCAAGTTTTTCAGGAGCCGCAATGTCCATGCTCCAGTTATGGAAATTTTCGTGCCGGAGAACTTTACCATGTACAATACAAACGATTTGGCGTTATTGAAGCTCACATATCCAATGCCCACGAACAATCAATATGTGGCTGTAATCAAGTTGCCCACACAGCAACCCGTCATAGAAGGCGAGTACATGGTGCTTGGCTGGGGTCGACTCTACCACGTGAGCATTATCTGCAGCACTAAAAAAAATAAATTCTGTCTATACCTTCATTTGTATACTCGTACAGGACGGACCACTGGCATCGGACATCACACATATCATGGTGACGCTATATAGCCACTTGGCCTGCGAAATGATATTGAATGTCTTTACGGATGAGATGATGTGTGCTGGCCATGTGAAACACAAGGATGTGAATCCCTGTGCCGGTGATCTGGGCGGTCCACTGATTGCCAATGACACAGTCTATGGCATTGTCAGCTATCGCATTGGCTGCGGCCACACAGAGCTGCCGTCGGTCTACACGAATGTCTATGAGAATATAAGGTGGATCAATTTTATTTTATCCAACAATCGTAGCTGTCGTTTATGTGATTACTTTGCACAATTATTGTTTGTAATTGCTATAAATTTGTATGTATGAAATAAATCCATGTGGCACCTGGTATTACTTCAAGTCTTTATATAATTGGGATATAATTTAATTGAGCCGTTTAGCTCTTGGCTGATTTCTGATATTGCGACTATCTTCTATTCCTCTCCTTCTCTGCTGTTTTTGCTTTTTAACTGCAGTTTCTCTGGGGTTCTCTCCTCGCTCTGCTAGCATCGACGGCCGCTGCCAGTCTCTCTCTAACTCTGTTACTTTCGCTGTTAACTCCACAGACTCTGTTGCGCTCTATACCTCCTTCCATTTTGTTTTTCTAGTAGATGATATTCACCCAAAGTTTATCATGTCAAAACATTTAAGGGGTAACAAATTTACTCGTAAATGGAAATTCGTAATCTATCCGGTTGTGTGCTCCTTCTGTTGCTGTTCCTGCCACCACCCTCCACCGACTCCTCCTCCTCGGCCTCCAATGCTGATCACCCGCTGAGTCGGCTTCCACGCAGACGCATCAAACGGATATCGACACCCTACTACGAAGAAAAAAAGACCTTGGACATGGCCAAGTATGTGGTGTCGCTGCGTTCCCGTACACCGCGCAAATACTTTGGCGACAATCACTACTGTGGCGGGGTCATTATATCGCGTACGTTCATTTTGACTGCCGCGCACTGCACCATGGAGTAGGTATTATTTTTGATATTTTGCCCAAAAGGGAACTTGATCATCGTTTAACCCGGGTCACCAAAGCAGTCGCAAGATCCTGCATCGGGCACGCGTATTGCTAGTCGTCGCTGGGACGCCGAATCGCTTGAAGTTTTGGCGTGGCAGGACTGTGAATGCACCGGTGAAGGATGTCTATGTGCCCGAGAATTTCACCATGTTCAATACGAATAATATTGCACTGCTAAAGCTGGCGATAGAGCTGCCGGATAATCCGTATATTGCCATTGCCAGTCTGCCCACCCATGAGCCAGTTTACAATATCAATTACACACTCCTCGGCTGGGGACGAGTGTACAAGGTGAGCTCGCTCTTCTCTGCTCCTCTGTCTCTTGCTGGCCGTTACATATTAGTCTGTTTTCTAACTCTATTCCTGGCAAGGGCGGTCCACTGGCCTCTAGCATTCTGCATGTGGATGTGAAGCTGCTGGATCATCAGACCTGCGAAGAATTGGTGCAAACCTTCAAGGACGAAATGATGTGTGCCGGCAATCTGGAGGATGATCAGGATGAGAATCCCTGTGCCGGCGACACGGGCAGTCCCCTGCTCCTGAATGGCACTGTCTATGGCATCGTCAGCTACCGCATTGGCTGCGGCTCCAAATCTCTGCCCTCCGTCTATACAAATGTCTTTGCGCACTTGGAGTGGATCGATGAAATAATGACATCCGGTGAGAGCGTTCGTCGGGGCTGTACCCCGAGCATGTGGCTGGCAGCCACCTTTGCTCTGCTGAATGTACCAAGAATAAAATTCTGAACTGTTCACTTTGCGCTTTATTCAATCATCGGCTCAGACCAGGAGTCCGCCCTTGGCTGTCAGAGCGGGCAGATGCTTGACGGTCTTGAGGAAATCGGCCACCTCGCAGGCATACGACCAGCCCGTCTTGATGTCATCCTTCTTCCAGTTGATGTAGTTCACCTGGTCGCTGACATCGTCGCAGATGACGTAGTCGCGCTTGATCTGCTCCTCGGTCAGATGGGGATTGTTCACGCCGACAAAGACAATGCCACGATGTGTCGATGGCTCAATGACCACGCGGAAGTACAGCTTGGGCACAGGGATCAGGCCATTGTTGTTGGCATCGCGAGCGAGATAGAGCGGTGTCTCCACACCGTTCACATTGGGCAGCGTGGTGACACCCCAGACACCGGTGTAGCAGTTCACGTCCATCTTGTTCTTGGACACCCACGCGCGGACGCCATCCTCAACGCGCGCCCAGTTGCCGGCATTGAAGGACTGCCACTGTGGTGCGGCATTAATGAACAGGAACGTGGCACGCTGCTCGGGGGCATAGTCAAAGTCCGCCTTGGCACCCAGATGGCCGCGGGCCAGGAAGATGCTCGATGTGTCAAAGTACTTGGCGGCGTCCTCGCCCAGATCCTTGCTGATCGTCTCCTGCTGTGTGGCCTGCGTGTAGAGCTTGTCCACATTCTTGCCATCAAAGTAGCCGGCCGTCTGGAAGGTGATGCGGGCCACGCCCGTCTCGTAGTAGTTGCTGCCGGGCTCCAGCTTGTGGCGCGTGTAGCGGGTCACCTCCTCCTCCTCGTTGAAGCACACCTGCATCTGTTCGGCAAAGCGCGTGGAGGTGATCTCAAAACCGACGCGAATGACCACGCCCCCATTGCAGGTGGCGCCCGATTTGACAGCCTTGAAGCCCGGCCAGGACTTGCAGTACAGATCCTTGAACTCGAAGTTGCTGCCGCCCACACTGAAGGTGGAACCGCTCACGCACTTGGCCGTCAACAGGCTCTCGGAGTGGGTGTTGAATGCACCAGGACACCACAGCTGGAAGGTGTCTCCGGCATTGAACTCCATGGCGCCAACATCGTTGAATGGATAAAAGTCCTCGGAATCGGTCTTCAGATAGACAGGCTCGGGGCTGGGCAGGCCACCGCGAATGGTGACACTGCAGGCTATGGGAGAGAGAGAGATCAGTGATGATTAGATTAGTGCTGCTCCTGCTCTTCCCCAATTAGTGTATCGCTGCCACTCACCCGCGGCACGTCCCTCTGGCTGGGGTGCCACATAAATGGCGCGCTCGTAGATCTCATCCTCCTGGACGATCGGCGGCAGCTCCACCTCCGGATAGGGCACGCGAGCCCAAACAGCCTGCACCACCACCAGACCAATCAGCAGCAATGACAAACGGACGCTCATCATTTCAGTTTTAACTTTTGGAATGGTCTGGTGGCATCTTTAAATAGGCTTCCGGCCCCATAACACAATGGGGCAGCGGTGGGACGTCCCCATAAGGGTAATTAATGAAAAAATACTTAATAAAATCAAAATCTAGCCACTTTTGGTGGCCCTTATCTTAGAGTCGAGTGGAGGTGAAGTGCCGGAGTGTGTCGTCTATTCGTACGTAAGCGTCTTTCAGTCGATCTTAATTGGTTCGAGGCACTTGCTGTAGATTATAGTATAGTACATAGCTGGACTAGGGAAATACCCGATAGAGTTGTGATTTTTCCTACGTGCCTCAAGTAATAATCTTTATCCGTAATTGTAAACAGACCTGTTAAGCAAGTGTGTTTTTGGTATTTCTTCAATCGGTTTCTGTCTTTCAATCAGTTTCTATCCATAAATAGCTCAGGGGCTGATGATCCTTTCTCCACGATAGTCAACTGTTCCGGGCGGCAGCTGTAACAGAGCAGCAGTGCTGTTAACAACCCAGCTTAACAGCCAGTGCCTACAGCTCACTGTTAGCGCACTCACGATCCACACTCCAAACATCTGCCAACTTTATCCACCCCACTCTCACACAATCAAGTGCCAGTTATGTGGGGATGTCTACTACCAATGAAGTTATTTAATCAGGGCTCGGCGCCATCTCCTCCCCTCGCCATCCTTCATTGTAGCTCCAAGGCCTATAATTTATAATCAACAAGTAATTAAGGCTGATGGCCGCCACAGGATTCGAAAATTCAAGTGTCGACTGCCTCCCTCGCTCCCTCGAACATCACGTAATTAGTAAATGAGGACATGAAGCGCCTGGGAGCCGTTCCACCGTGAGCACAAAAGTCATAGAAAATTAATCATTAATCATTATCTCTGGCGCCATCTACTGCCTCCCGCTTAGCTCATTTATCTATATCAAATCAATTAGCGAGTACCTTGAAGTCTTCTTCCCTGCCATCCATCCGTTTGCTTCAATGGAGCGGCGTTTCGTTTTCTTTTGTGCGAATTTCCTTTCGGCCTTGCTACGTGCCAATTTGGGCCGTTTTGTTCGCTCATTCGTAAATCTAAACAAATCATCAATTTTCACAAATTATACCCGCGATACCCATCTCAGCAGCCAAAGTATCCGGCTACCGGTACAATCCTCATCCGTGTCCTCGTTCTTGTCCTTCGCGCCTAATTGCCTGACGACTATCTGTGCCTTTTCGTTTCGTTTCGTTTCGTTTTGGCTGCGTTTCCTGCTGCCTGCCCCTGCTCCGGCCATCACCCGACAACGTTCATTTTACATTCCATTAATTAATGTCAATGGCCGACGAACTTTGACATATTGAGCTTTATGTTATTTCCAGCCGCTCCCTAGTCCACCCTTGATGCTGGGCTGCTAAGGTGCCAAGCAAGGATGAAGGTTTATCCCAATGAAAGCAAATGCTTTGAAGCCATAACTTTTTGTTGCCAGCAGAATACGTATACGTATCCATTCCACTTTGGGACTTAATTTAAGCAACTTTATTCAGCCGTAAAAAAAGGAGTGCTCATCTTTGGATTACTCCTACTTCAAACAATACCAACCACCCTCCTCCTACCAACACCACCTTCTCTCTCTTTTAATATTCAACCTTTTGATGAGAAAACCCATTGGGAGACAAACACCTTTCTATAAAAATTTATCTATGTCGCTCTCCCACACGCCATAAATTAGACCGCAAATTTATGAGCTTCGAATCAATATTAATTGCCGGTTAGATACATCAGATGTCCATTTCATTAGCTACCTGGACACACAACCATTCAACTTAAATTGCATTTGGCACCTACTCACACGATTTCTTAACACGACAAATGCGGATAAAAAAAAAATAAACTTCCTTGAACGAAATAGGGAGAAAAAGGCACACAATTTAATTCGAATTTGACTTGATCAGACATCGCATTCAGGTGGGAGGGCGCCCATTTCTTCTGTTACTCCTTTGATAAATGGGGTCATATTAATAACATATGTGTGTGTGAGTGTGTGTGTATGTGTATGCTGAAAGATACCTTTGATTGATAAGGCGCTGCCTAAGCGTGTGTTTGCCCAGCAGAGAGTAGGTGGAGCAGGAGGAGGAGCACAAAAGGAGGGCAAAAGGTAAACGATTTTGCACCTTTTCAACAGGTCTCCGCTCCTCTCTCTTTGTCGGGGCTTGGGGTCGTCGGATGTTCAGGCAAATTGAAAACGGGAGTCAATAGAGCCGTAGACATAGTCAGTCCTGGCCAAGGGCTAGGCCAGGTTCATCACGTGTGCCTGTGCAATGATGGATTAAATGTATTTCAAAGGCGTGAAAGCCAAAAGGTAGCAGCACAAAGTAGCACATTGTGGTTGCATAATAAACATTCAGCACACACTTCAATTTAGCTTAGTCCCGGGGGTATACCGCAAAAAAAAAAGGAAATAAAGGATATACAAATACACAAACTAATTGTCAAAGGATTTTGGTTCCGCCTTTTATGCCTTTATGCAAATCCAAGCCACACACATCCCAGTCACAAAGTTGTGCAGCCAAGCGAAAGATCTCCGATAATTGCAATGAACCGATAAAATGTCTTCAAGGACAAGCTCCGCAAACCCCCCACCCACCAACCCAACCCAGAACACCCTTGTGCAAATAAAAAAGGAGCCTGCCCCGCAGCCACCCTGCTATCCACAGATTTGAATTAATTTACGCTCAATAAACCAAACAAAAATCGCTATGGAGAAGTTTTGATGGCAGAGAACAGAAACCCCATTCCATGTGAGGAGGAAAAGAAAAGCGCAAATAATACTAAAAAAAAAAATTATTAAGTGACCAAGCGACACACAGAGAGCGTGAAAATTATAAAAGTAGTTGAACATGACAGGCGGACGTCCAAGAGCATGGCAGAGATGATTAATAGCCCAACACCATAAAGCGATGGAAAAATAACTTGATGCACAGAGAGAAGGGGTTTTTTTTATGTAATGGGCTTTAAAGTTCACAGGCAAAAATTAAATAATTTAAAGTACATAATTATCTTAAAAATTGTTTTTAAAGGCAAAGATGTTTAATACTAATTGGGTTTTAAATAGTTTCAGCTAACATCCATACCAATAAAAGGTTCTACAAAAGAGAACTTATCATCATTTTTGGAAAGGAAAAATTATATAGAAACTGTTCAAACATTCAGTTTCGCTCTCAACTATTCCTCTGCATATAATTTGACCAAAAATTAAGTCTATACAAGTCTGTAACTCCCCCAGCAAAACAGTTTGCCATCTTTCTTATACCATAACTCAATTTGGCATTCCTTTCAGGCTTCAATTGATTTGAAAAATGTTCCCAAAGTATACTAGAAAGTTGGTCCAAGTTTTCTATAGCACGAATTATACCAATAGAAAAAAAAGGGAGGAGTATACGGGACAAACGGATTTGTCCTTGCCGCCTCTGTTTGTCACTCGCCACTCGCCAAATCTGTGTGCGAGATAATCTGGTGTTGCAATCAGCGCTTATATCATGCCACTAATGGCATCCACTTTGTATGGCCATTTTCGTAGTATGGCCACTTCCCCCTCCCACTGACGTTTTGGCTATTTGTTTTTGTTGTTTTTTTTTTGTTGTTTTCGTTTTGGTCCTGTGTGCTGAGAGGAGAGAAACGCTTCAATAACTTTTATCACTTTTAATTGGATTTTTCTTTATAGTCAACGCATGTCTTAGGCGGACTAACACATGTTCAGATTGTAATTGTGTTAATGTCGGCACCATATCTCCCTATCTCTCTCTCTCTCTCTCTCTCTCTCGGTGTTTGTGTGTGCGGGCATGTCTTTAGCCTTATTTTTTGTTGTTTTTGTTGCCATATTGTCTTGTGACATCAGGCTAATACCCATTTTCCTTGTTGCTTTCCCTGCTGTCGCATATACCATGTATGTATGTATGTATGTATGTATGTAGCCCCGCAAGTCTGGTCAAATTTGCTTTTGCTTTTTGGTTGTATTATTTTCCTTTCAATTTTCTTAATTGCTTCTTAATGCAAATTCCTTCAGGCTAAAATTCGTGCGCTTTAACCGATTTTCAACATCATCTTTTGGGGAGGAGAAAACAGTTTTAAGATGGGAAAATATAATAAAAAAAAAATTAAAATTAATAAGATTTGCAGAAACTGTTGAAGAAGAATTTTCTTGAATCTTCACATAAGACCTCCTTCACATTTTCTTATTGAAAATATCCTAAAAATATATTCGAGCTAAAAAATAACAAAGAAAATTACTCAAATAAACCGCATCTTTCTGGTTACTTTATAATAATATTACCCCACTAGTTGTAGGAAAACTTACCGTTTCCATCCACACCACTGTGAGCTAAAGACACAACTAACTCATCCAAGTGCTCATCCAAGTTCTTGGGGCAACTTTGTCCTTCTGTTTCGCCGCCACGCAATCGACACGTAATTGACTTTGTCCCACACTTTGCTGAACGTCAATTTGTGCTCAGTACCAATTAAACGCCATCGATGACCAATTGCACTTGTCCAGAAATTGGCCAAGAAGATTGCTTGCCCCAACGACGTGATGACAGCCAGCAGGAACGAGCGAGTGTAGGTGGTGCAGTGCAGTGGAGTGGAGTGAAGTGAAGTGCAATCAATGCATAATTTTAATGCAATTCTTGAATGCAATTACGGATGGGACTGTCTTTTGGGCTATAAAAGCCATTTGCCAGCTGAGTTGAACTGCGAATAAATTCCGTAAGGGAAATGCAAAAAAAAAAGGGGAAGCAAAGGACACGAAACTCGTTAATATTCGAAGTGATGAAGGTTCAACTTATTCGCTGGCACCGCCTGCTGCAGCTCCAGCTCCAGCTCCTGTTGTTGTTGTTGTTGCTGGTTGTCAATGGCTGGCCACGATGTGTCAGTGCCAGCTGGCAGGACAGCAGCAACATCCGCACGAGAAATACCCGCGAGGGAGCAGCTCCAGGACCAGCAGCAGCAGCAGCAGTACCATGGGGCAATCAGTTGCCGGATATGCTAGTCGCTTACTATCGCCACCATGGCGTTCACAGTCTGATGCTGGTCGTTTGTCACACGGACATTGGTGAATTAACCTATTCCCCACCCTCCGCTCCTCCCTCCACCCATCCCTTGCATGCAATGTGTTTTTATTTCGTGGAAATTTATGTCCTCTTCTGTGTCCTTGCTGCTTCCCCTTTCACAGCTGATGCACGCCTTCGGATGCTGTGGCAGCACTTGAACCTCAACAACATCTATGTGCAGGTCAGTACGGAGGATACGCTGCGGGACCTTCGCCATGTCGTTGCCCTGGACGAGCTGAGGGAGGCCCCACCGCCGCAGAGTTTCCACGCCAACAACTCCACCCACTGGCAGACATCGTTTCTGCTCCCCATGCTGTCCCATAAATTGGGCATCCTGCTCCTGGAGTTTGGCAGTTCGTGTGCCCAGAATTTGCTCCGTTGGTCAGCCGCCACGGAGCATAACTACTTCACCACGAATCGTTTCTGGTTGCTGCTCACCGAGGATCTAACGGACATTGATCTGCTGCAAGATGCCGAAATATTCATTCCACCCGACAGCGAGCTGCGTGTGCTTCACTACGGCAACGAGGGGGATAACTTTTCAGCCAGCCTGATAGACCTTTATAAAGTGGCTGCCTGGAAGCCACCGAAGCAAACGTTGGTGGGACAACATCTGCGTAATGCGCGGCACATGGGCCATGCCCTGCAGCACTTTGGATCGGCCATTTCCTACAGGCAGAATCTGGAGGGGATTGTCTTCAATACGGCCATTGTGATTGCCTTTCCGGATCTGTTCACCAACATTGAAGATCTGTCCCTGCGGCATATCGACACCATATCGAAGGTCAATCATCGACTGATGGTGGAGCTGGCCAATCGTCTAAATATGAGGTGGAATTCTTGTTTCTAGTAGCCATTCTTGGATCGCTTTAAAGCAAAGATTATTCCTTTTTTCAGTTACAACACCTATCAGACCGTCAACTATGGCTGGCGACAGCCGAATGGCTCCTTTGATGGTCTCATGGGTCGCTTTCAGCGCTACGAACTGGACTTTGCCCAGCTGGCGATCTTTATGCGCCTGGATCGGATTGCGCTGTGCGACTTTGTGGCGGAAACGTATCGTGTGCGTGCTGGCATCATGTTCCGACAGCCACCATTGTCTGCGGTGGCCAATATCTTTGCCATGCCCTTCGAGAACGATGTCTGGGCGTCCATACTGTTTTTGCTGATCATAACCACAGTGGTGCTGGTGGTGGAGCTGCTCTTCTCGCCGCACACCCATGACATGGCCTACATGGACACGCTGAACTTTGTGTGGGGTGCCATGTGCCAGCAGGGCTTCTATGTGGAGGTGCGCAATCGTTCGGCCAGGATCATTGTGTTCACCACCTTTGTGGCGGCTCTCTTTCTGTTCACCTCGTTCTCTGCCAATATTGTGGCCCTGCTGCAGAGTCCCTCGGACTCCATCAAATCGCTGGCCGATCTGGGGAAATCCCCATTGGAGATCGGTGTGCAGGACACTCAATATAACAAGATCTACTTCACAGAGTCCACGGATCCGGTGACCAAGAATCTCTATCACAAGAAGATCGCCTCCAAGGGCGATCATGTTTATATGCGACCCATTTTGGGTATGGAAAAGATGCGAACGGGTCTCTTTGCCTATCAGGTGGAGCTGCAGGCAGGCTATCAAATTGTCAGCGATACATTCAGTGAGCCGGAGAAGTGCGGACTGATGGAGCTGGAGCCGTTTCAGCTGCCCATGCTGGCAATTCCCACAAGGAAGAATTTCCCCTACAAAGAACTCATACGAAGGCAGTGAGCAATGACTGAGCTTTGATTCTGGATTCTCTGATTTGATTCTGATATTTGATTCCTTCCACACAGATTGCGCTGGCAGCGTGAGGTGAGCCTGGTGAATCGCGAAGATCGCAAGTGGATACCGCAGAAGCCAAAATGTGAGGGCGGCATGGGTGGCTTTGTGTCCATTGGCCTCACCGAATGTCGCTATGCCCTGGGCATCTTTGGCTGTGGCGCGGCTGCCAGCTTTGGCGTTTTCCTCTGGGAGTTCATTTTGAAGCACTTTAGGGGCGTGATTAGGATGCGGCACTAGGCACACACACACAGATTTATTTAAAAAGTGAAAATTAAAGTTATGTTGGTATGGACAGCTCCTTGACCACGGCACGCAATGCATCCGGCGTCTTGAATTGCCAGTTCTGGATGCTTTTGCTCACACGACACCAGGACTCACCGTGCGTGGGCTCGGCGGCTATGCAACGCTCGAGTACCTCCTGCTGCTGCTGCTCTGTGCCGTGAAGCAATTCGAACTTATAGAAATATGCCCAGGCATCGCCCAAGTCTGGATCTATTTTCACCTGAAATAATGATTCAATTAGCATGGATTTTCTTTGCCTAATCTTAGCCACTCACCGTTCGGTTGAACCAATCGCGGCATTTGGAGAACTTGTGCTCCGACCAAAAAAGTTTGGAGACCGCCAGTAGCACATGCGGATCGTGCTCACACTTTTTGAGCGCATCCACGGACTTGGTCTTACGCTGCGGCTTTGTCTCCATAAAGATGGCCTCCGCCCAGAGCTCGCCGGCATTGGGGCACTCCTGCAGCGCGCGCGACATCATTGTGCTGGCAATCTCCTTGAGTCCTGCACGCAGTTCGACGCGTATGGCCTCCAGCCAGAGCACCGCCACCTTGGGATTGCGCAGGCGACCTCGCTCCAGAATGGAACGGGCTTTTGTGAGCACACCTTTGCGCTCCTCCAGATTGGCGGAGAGCACCCACAGGGGTATCGATGTGGGACACTTCTTCAGGCCCTGTGTGTAGGTGTTGGCAGCATCATCGGTGCGCCGCTGCTGCTCCTCGATCTGGCCCTTCATCATCCAGAGTTTGGGGAAATCGGGGAACACCTCGACAGCCTCTTCAAGCAGACGCAACGCCTCATCGAAACGCTCCAGGGCCCACTCCAGCCGAGCCGACTTCATCATTACCCTCGGCGTGGGCGCCGACCCTCTGGCCTTGGCCAGCAGACGACGCGCCCGCTCATACTCGGCATTCTCAGACTCCAGTTTGACGGCAGCCAGCCAAATATCCTCCGAATTAGGATTCGCCTGGAAAGCCAACGAAAGGATGCCTCGCGCTGCCGGCACATCTCCGGCCATCCATTTGGATTTGGCACCCATCAGCCAGAGAATCTCCGACTTGGGACAGTGAGCGACGGCACGCTGCAGCAGTGCCTCCAGCGATTCGCGTGTGCCATGGTTCTTCTCAAAGTAGGCGGCACGCAGCCAAATGCTCTTCTTCGAGGGGAACATTTGCAGTGCGTGGGCATAGACAGCTCGCGCGCACTCAAACGCGTTCTCCTTGGCGCACTGTAAAGATAAATGACACGAGTTGCAGATGCAATTCAGAATTATTCGCTGGCCAGGGGATACTCACAAATTCGGCATCATCGATCCAGGTCTGCTTACGATCCTCCTCCTCCACACCAATGCTAATGACAGCCTTGACAATGCACTGGCAACAATTGACGGCGCCCGATTTCTCCGCCTCGATGGCCTCCTGGAACCAATGATCCCGATTGATCTCCACCCCATTGGCTGTGAGGGAGGTCAGCGAACGATCGACGATCTTTTCCACCATATGTATGTTGCCATTGGCCTCCTCCAGCTTGGCAGCCGTTGTCCAAATTTGTCGATCTGTGGGTATATTTTCGCGTGCCTTGTTTAACACCTTGCGGGCATTTTCGTAGGTCTCGAGGCGGGCCAGGGCCAGCCAGAGCTCGACACTGGTGTTGCAGCACTCCACAGAACGAGACAGCAGAATACGGGCATCGTCGGGATTCTCCAGCTCAACGGCCGCCTTCCACAGACGCACAGAGTTCGGTATATGCTCCAGGGCCTTTCGAAAGACTCGCCGCTTGGCCTTTGTTTCGGTTTCCAAGTCCGCGGCCTTGATCCAAATGCGCACAGAGGTGGGAATGTGTCGAGCTGCCTGGGCTATCACCGCCTTGGCGGTGTCGGGGGGCTGCAGGCGTGCCGCTTCCAGCCAAAGATCCTCAGACTGTGGATTCATTTCGCAGCCTCTCATTATCAGGTTGCGAGCCATCTGCACCTTCCCGGTGACCTCCTCGAGGCGAGCCGAGGCTATCCAGGCCGGCGGATGATTCGGATTTGTTTCTCTTACACTTTTCAGCAGAAGGCGAGCCTTCTTGATGTCGTTGATGTCGCCGCCGTAGGTGGGAATCATGCTCTGCAAGTCGGTGAGGTAACCCTTCGGATCCACCACTGTTTGTCCCGTCACCGAGTCGGAGACCTGTGACAGCTTCACGTTCATCAACGTATTACGTGCCTGACCAATTTTTCTCAAGTCCAAATCCCCCGTGGGCGTTAACATGCCCGGTGTGGCCACGCCCGGCACCATGGACGCCAGGCCAGAGGATGGATCCAGTGTGGAGGATGACTCGCCGCCCAAATTTCTGGACAAAACGCTGTCCGGCAGCGGCGTAAACTTCTCGGCCCTGGCATTTCGCTGCTTCCGATTGCGACTGTCACCCACCTCGGGTATGGTGGACCATTCTTCGGAGGTTACGCCAGACAGTGAACGCTTTAGATCGCTAAACTGCTGCTGAATCTTTGGTCTCTCCTGGCGATAGCGCTCCAAGTCCTCGCGCAGTCGACGATCGCGATACTCTTTGCGTTTCTCGTCCATGCGCTTCTCTACGGAATCGTAGATGGCATCGGCCTCCTCGTCGTCCTTGTCGTAGGGATCCTTCGAGAACAGGGAGCCGCTGTAACCACTAAACTCATCATAGTTCGAGTCGTTCAAGTCTTCATCCTCCTCCTCCTCCTCATCTTTTTTCTTACGTTTGGTTGCTGGCGGTGCATGCCGATCATCGGACACATCGTTGGCATCGCGAGCCGGACCAATATCCGATCGAGTGGTGAAGCCAGTGGCCCTGTAAAACGATGGACAAACATTATTAAAATATCAAATTTCGCTGAGTAAACGAATCTCCTCCGACGCACGCCGAGTACTCACCCACGACCCACGCCGGCCACATAGCCCAAGGGCGCTGGCACGCCCAAAAAGTGTTTCTTATTGCGGTTGGCAATCACCGCTGCAGTTATATTGGACATCTTTGTTTTTCTTTATTGTTAGTTTTCTATTTCACAAACAGTAAAAATTCAATGCGTGGTCTTCTTCTTCCCGGTCGACAAACAGTGCTGCACAATGTTCGCGGTCCAATGAAATGGCTGTAATCGATTACCGATAGCTCTTGTTTTTTTTTGCAATAAAATCGTGATAAAAACTTTATTTTCGCATAAAAAGATCTAGAGCTTTATTAAATTTAAACAGCAAATCGTTGCAAGATGCCTGTGCTGCCCATGCCGCCACTGATGCAGGTAAGCTCGATGAGAATCCTGGACAAGTTTAGTGATGCTGAAATATGTATTTATTGCTTGCAAACAAAAAGAACGCCATCGAGCCAATGCAAGTGGATGCACCGCCGAACGAGGACAATGAGAACAACGAGGAGCAACAGATCGTGGTGGAGAACCCCAGCATCGACCTGGAGGTGTATGCCAATCAATACAATGGCATTGTACGACTCCACCGGCTGATGTATGTGGCCGACGTTTGCCCCAGCCTGGCCGTGGAGGCGCTCAAAATGGCCATCACGTATGTACAGACCACGTACAACGTTAATCTTTACCAGCTGCTGCACAAGCGTTTGAGCGACTTGAACGCCAGCAACGCCCCTGCTCCGCCAGCACCGGCTGCAGATCTGGCTCCGGTGCCAGCCGCTGCTCTGCCGGACATTGCAGCCGTGCCGGCTGCAATTGCTTTGCCACCGTTGGCCCAAGGCCAGCCCGCGGCTGGCGAGAAGGATTCGTTTGCCTATGATGCTGTCTGGGTGGACACCAAGATGAAGAAGGCTGCCCTCAAGCTGGAGAAGCTCGATTCGGATCTGAAGAACTACAAGTCGAACTCAATCAAGGAGAGCATTCGGCGCGGCCACGATGACCTAGCCGATCATTATCTGAGCTGCGGGGATCTGACCAATGCCCTGAAATGCTACTCGCGGGCCCGCGACTACTGCACCAGCGGAAAGCATGTGGTGAACATGTGTCTAAATGTGATCAAGGTCTCTATTTATCTGCAGAACTGGGTCCATGTCATGAGCTACATATCGAAGGCGGAGAGCACTCCGGACTTTGCCGAGGGATCCAAGGAGGCCAACGCCCAGGTGCACACACGCCTCGAGTGTGCCGCCGGCCTGGCCGAACTGCAGCAGAAGAAATACAAGGTGGCTGCCAAGCATTTCCTGAACGCCAACTTTGACCATTGCGAGTTCCCCGAAATGATCTCCACCAACAATGTGGCTGTCTATGGTGGGCTCTGCGCTCTGGCCACCTTTGACAGGCCGGAGCTGAAACGCCTGGTGATTGCCTCCACATCGTTCAAGCTGTTCCTGGAGCTGGAGCCGCAGTTGCGCGACATTATATTCAAGTTCTACGAGAGCAAATACGCCTCGTGCCTGACGCTGCTCGACGAGATCCGTGACAATCTGCTCGTGGACATGTACATAGCACCGCATGTGAGCACGCTCTACACCAAAATTCGCAATCGCGCCCTCATCCAGTACTTCAGTCCCTATATGTCGGCCGACATGCACAAAATGGCAATGGCCTTCAACTCCTCGGTGGGGGATCTGGAGAATGAGGTGATGCAGCTGATTCTGGATGCCCAGATTCAGGCCCGCATCGACTCGCACAACAAGATCCTCTACGCCAAGGAGGCCGATCAGCGCAATAGCACGTTCGAGCGTGCCCTGGTCCTGGGCAAGAAGTATCAGCGACACACGCGCATGCTCATCCTGCGTGCGGCAATGCTCAAGAGCCACATCCATGTGAAGAGCGTTACCCGCGAGGGCGGCAGCAACCACGGCGCCGAGCTATGCGTCTCGGCCGGCTCCACCACCACGGCACAGTTGGCTCGCATGTAGTTCCAATGTTCCAATAATCAATAAACTACTCTTTGCATTATACTTCTTAATCTTCTGCAATGAAAGGTTGCTTTAGCGTAGCTAATTCTAAACTCTTTGCAACCCTCTTACCCCTTCCTATGCTGAAGAACTATTAAATCATCTACTAACAAAAGAGAGTTGCGTATTCTCCCTGATATTTTATTGATGGAGTAATTGGGAAAAGAACACTGATAATACATGAGAAAAACTGTATGCCTATCGCCTGGAGTGATCTCTGCGCTCCCTCTCCCGACGTCTGTCTCTACTGGCCGAGCGGGAGCGCTCTCTTCGCTCACTGCGGTCATTCCGTCGCCGATGGTAGTTGTCTTCCGACTCCCTCGATCGCTGGGCACCGTTTCTCCGTGAACTCTGGTTTTGGAGCTCTCTCGACTGTTGGTCTTTGTAATGGCTTCTAGGGTTGTCTTCCGCATCACTATCTGAGGAGGAGGACGACGACGAGCCATCGCTGTCTACAGATTTCCTGTCTTTTCTGGCTGATTTCTCCTTTTGGCTGCTCTTGGACTTTTTCTTCTTGCCGTCTTTGTCTTCCTTTTGTTTCTTCGACTTTTTCTTGCTTGACTTCTTGATGCTCTCCCCCTTGCGCTTCATGCGGTCGATCTTCTCTAGCTTTTTGAGCAACTTTAGCTTCTGCTTCTTGGTCAGCGACTTGAGAAACATGAGCTCGGGATTCTGTTGATTGGCATTGGACTCATCCTCCTCGTCGCTGGGCACCAACTGGTGCTGTCTCTGGATGGTCTTAATGCTCTGCAGCTCCAACGCTGAACGCTTCATCATCAGACCATCCTCCTTCATCTGCTCCTCGAGCACGTTCTTGGACATGATGTCGGTGGCCTCCGATTCGGCGTGAAGCTTGCGTGCCTCGCTCATGGATATGCTGTACATGCTGCACTCCTTGTCCGTGTTGATGTGCCCCCATTTGTGGCACTTGAGACAGCGTACGTTGCGCACCTGGATGCCAAAGGGCTGATCCCGGATCTCGGTGTCGCCCTTGCAGTAGGACTCTCGGGGAGCATTATATTTGCGCTGCCATTCGAACTTGTACTCCGGCTCGTCGTCGTCCTTTTCGCGCTCCTTGCGTACTCCTGGCGGCGGCTCGTACATGAAATTGACACTCAGCTTATCCTTGCTGTCCTTGCTGAGCATGGCCTTGTTTTCGTGCAGGTCCTGCTCCTTCTCATACTGGTTGCGCAGCTCCTCCTGCTTCTTTTTGTAGGCCTCCGCCTGTTGTTCCGCCATCCACACCTGGGGGGGCGAGAAATGCATTCAGGAAATTAGTTTCATTCATTGAAACGCCATTCCCGAGTACTTACCCTCTTGAGATTATCTCTGGAGGCGGGATGGAAGAATTTCTTGCACATGTAATTGTTGAAACCCTTGCCCATGTTGCTTTGTGTTTGATTCTCTACAGAAGTCTAAATAATAATAATATTTCGCAAATTTTACAAATATTTTTCGTGAATGTTGTTTAGAGCGAGCTAGTGTTGTAAAATTTCCGTGCTTTATTAAAACAAGTTAGTCAACATTTACGTTTTATGCTTTGGCCGTTTTTGTTTGAACCCTATTATCTAAACAATCCCATTAAAAATAGTTCTGAAAACTAGCCAATCTTAAACAAAATTCATTGAGGAATTGGATAAAATTATTTTTTTAGGCCTGAGATGGCCAACTATCTAGTAATATTAAACTGAATATCAAAATTGACGAATTTCATATCACAAAATATCATGGTATGGCAGCCCGCAGCAACTACGAATTGCACGAGTCTGGCAGCGCCACAGAACGACGTCACATTCCTATATAGGGGGGGGGGGGGGCGGGGGGCCGGGGGGGGGGCCCCCGTTATATGGTATATTTTGGCATGTATCTTCTTCTTCCTCTTTGGTTACTTTTTTCTTCTTCTTCCTCTTTGGTTACTTTTTTCTTCTTCTTCCTCTTTGGTTACTTTTTTCTTCTTCTTCCTCTTTGGTTACTTTTTTCTTCTTCTTCCTCTTTGGCTACTTTTTTTCTTCTTCTTCCTGTTTGAAGATAGTCAAATGTTTATATTTTTTATTTTATTTTATTTTAGTTAATTTTTTTTATAACTAAGAATAAGAACTAAACAGTATTTGCTTATGTTATGTTTTGTTGTATTGTTAGTGCTCAAGTAGAGCCAAAGCTCCCACAAGCTTAGTAGTATTAAGTAAGTCATCCTCTTGAAATTCAGTTTCTTCACCCATGTGAAATGCGAAATTTATTATATTGCCGGCAAGTATTTTAATTACAGAACCAGATGTTTCTAACTGGTTGCAGTTGGCATTGTTCAATCGCAATACCGTTTCACGTGGATTTGAAAAGTATGTTTCTACCAATTTTTCAAGATTCATCAGTTCTGACGAATAATACGAATGAAATTTCATGGGTACTGTGTCCAAGCTTGGCAAATTACTAAATATTTCCCTCCAGTTTTCAACGGTAAAAGTTGCGTCATATAGCTGTTTGAGAATTCTATCGGAGAATGGTGAAATCTTGTTTCCAGAGAACAATTTTGACAAATGGGTTATGTCCCACAAGACAGGATACTTAACGCTGACAAGGTTTGCTGCTAGGTGATTGGCACAGCAGCCATCACAAATAATTGCCAATAAATTTTTTTCTAGGTTCATATCTTCGATCCTCTTTAAGACGTTCTTTATCTCCTTGTAAATTACATCCGAGCCCAGCATGGATCGGCCATTCGTCTCTGGAATCTGTGCCAGGATGGGCTTCACGCGTAAGCTGATAAACCGGAATAAACTCCCATCGCTGTTAAAACATGCTTTTGCCAGCACCTTCCAGCGCTCCCGACAATACTTTACGGGGAGATGATATTCATCAAACGCCACAAAGAAGTCATTGTCAGCAAAATCCAACAAATTCGCCAAATATATTTTCCCCTTCTTCAAATAATCCGCAAGGTTCTCATTTAAAAATTGGACAGCTCTTTTAAAATCCTGCTTTGAGTGGACGCACGGCTGTGCATCGTTGTAGGCATAAAACACGCTTTCCAGGCTATGCATGATAACTTAAATCTTTCTGTTATAATACAATATCTTCGGAGAAAACACCTAAAAAAAAATGTGTAAATCCGTGTGTATGTGTGTGTCAATTCACAGTTTTTCAGTTTTTCGAACTGAAATGGTATTTGGTATTTTCTTCTGGTTATTTTTTTTTCAATTCTAAGCGGTCACACTAAGAACAAAAAAGAAAAATGAAAGTCAAGTGCACAATTTGGGAATGGGATACAAATTCCCCGCCAAACAAAAAACGAAAAACGTCTACATCAACACAATGCCCGCCATACACGTCATCACAAACAACACAAAAATCACAAACATCACCGGCGTCACCGGCATCCCCGCCATCCCCTCCATCCCCTCCATACCCACCATCCCCTCCATCCCCTCCATACCCTCCATCCCCTCCATCCCCGCCATCCCCGCCATCCCCACCATCCCCGCCATCCCCTCCATACCCTCCATCCCCTCCATCCCCGCCATCCCCTCCATCCCCGCCATCCCCTCCATCCCCGCCATCCCCTACATCCCCGCCATCCCCTACATCCCCGCCATCCCCTACATCCCCGCCATCCCCTCCATCGCCACCGTCCAAACCATCCCCACCATCCCAGCCATTGCCATCCACATCGACATTGTCAACGTCACATTCAGCAAGATGCTTATACTTCGATTCAGATTCCGAAATGGACAACAATTGGGATGCGAAGAGCAACCAATTCGATAAAAATTCAACAGTCTCGCCAGTACCTACTTCAGTTGTCATAACAACATTAGGAATTTTAATTAAAACGTTACAAATAAAAATCCTAAACAAAAAAAAACAACAAACGCCGCTGACAGACCAGGACCGTAGGACAATAAAACTAGAAATAATGAGATATTTCATCAAAAACGATTACGAAATGTCAAGACAGCAAGCAAATCAGCTGCTGGACGAAATAATAAAACTATTCCCTAATGAAATTAGACAAACATGGATAACAAAGGGCAGACGAACGCCAAATTTTTATGAATCGTACAGAAAAGCTGTATATGACAAAAAAAAAAAACAAACAAAATTGACGGAAACCAAAAACAAAACTGTAGCAATTGTAACTAAATCTATATGCTGCAATGGAGATAAATGCATTTGCAAAGACTGCAAAAAGGATGTTTGCATTGAATGCAGCCAAGCCTGCTCCAGCTGCGACACACTTATTTGTTACTACTGCTATTTAAACAAAGATATATTGTAAGTATTTACCTTACTTCAACACACACACAGTCTAATTTTACTTTTTTTCAGCGAAACGAATATATTTTGCAACGACTGCAAAACAAACAACAATGAACCATGAACAACATTGTTCTGTTTTAATTGTTTTAACTAATTTTTAAAATTAAGTTACTTAAGTTTAAAAATAAGCCTCATTTTCAGTGAGAAAATGTAGCCATTATTTTAACGAAATATTCAAAAAATAAAAATTTATGTCCTAAAATAAAACAACTTTTTCATTAGCCAATGTAGATTTTATTAATAAATACAAAACCACTTCCACTTCCAATATTCTACCATTTAGCTAGCATTCGTTTGTAAATAATTTCCAATCCATAGTAACCGCAGAAATTCCATTGTATAAGCAGAAGTGCCGCGATGCTTGGCTTAAAAGCGATGAATTTAAAGCTTGGGCAAGAAAGGACGATACTGATGAGCATAGGGTGTACTGCAGCTATTGCAAAATCACAATAATAGCCAAACTTAGTGATCTGCGGGCTCATGCGAAAACGAAGAAGCACACGAATTCGACGACCGGCTTCACACAACAAAACAAAATAGATTTTGGAACTTTGCCTGTTAAAACTGTTGAGCAGGAAGCAGCGTTGTGTCTCTTTATTGCTCAACATGCATCCATGGCACAAGTTGATCATTTGGACAAATTGTGCAACAAACATTTTGAAGTTGGAGCTGCAGGACGAGTTAAGCTG